GAACTTTACAGTAATATTTTTATATATTAACATCAAACTAAGCGAGCCTTACAGCTTCCCAATATGCTTGCTTAGGAAAAAATGTACAAAACATGAAATATTAATAATTACAAAAAAATATATATTTAAACAATTTTACGTGTTATTTAGGAAATCCATTGCCATTCTGCTAAAATTCAACAAGTCACATGTAAATATGTCCAGCTCTGGAAATCGATTAACGACACAGTTGGGTAGTAATATAGCTATACTTCAGAATAACACATAGGCTATACAGTGGACCCCCGGTAGTCCCACAATCATTTTGCAGTGCAGTGTCGGACTATCGAATTTGTCGGATTATAGAGTACTGCCTAAGATGACGCTTTGTCGACGTGTATTGTTTTTGGGACCCAGTGGACTTTGTACAGTCTCGGTAAGGTAGACTAGAGGTTCCCAAACTTGTGTCGTGGACCCCTTGCCATATTTTTCGGTTTAGGGTAGACCCCCCATTCTTACCTATTATTGATTTTTTGTAAATTTCTAACTCTAACTTAATATAAGCACTTTTGAATAGTCACATTTTTTTTATACTACCGCTCATTCGGAATGCAGACTCGTCACAAGGAGAATGAGCAAGAAACTTGTGTGTTGCTATTTTAAATAAATATTGTTTTATTAATAATCTAACCCAATAAAAGCCAAATAAAAAAGTTTCATCGTTCCATCGAGATTCCAAGATGACGATTTTTCCATACAACCTTTCATCTCCCCTTTCAACCCCTTACAACCCACTCTTCTTTACTCACTTAGACCAGAGAACTTGTTCTCAAACTTTTTTGTGTCGTAGACCCCTTGCCATATTTTTCGGTTAGGGGCCGTTCAAGTATTACGTAAGCACTATAGGGGGGCGGGGGGTCTTTTCTTTGCTTATTTTGGATGACATGGGGGTGGGGGTCTGTATGATGATTACGTCATCGGTCGTAATTTACTTTTTTACACGAATAACAACCCTCACATTGTCTTTGTTAAAAAAACAATACATTAATTGAGAAATGTTTACGTAAGCATGGGGGGAGGGGTAAGAGCTTTGCTTACTTTTGCTGACAACGGGGGATGAGGGGTAAATAATTGTGATAAATCTGCTTACGTAATACTTGAACAGCCCCTTACGGGTAAACCCCCATTCTTACCAGGTATTGATTTTTTGTAAATTTCTAACTGTAATAAAGTTTAGTGTTAAAAACATAAAGTAAAAACAACAAGATGACCGCTGTCATAGACCCCTTGCAGTTTGAGATAGATCCCTGGGGGTCGATATAGACCACTTTGGGAATCACTGGTATAGAACCAGTGATTCCCAAAGTGGTCTATATCAAATCAGAGCGGTTATAAAATAAATTTTTACATCTATTAAGATAACGGGGTCCAAGGTTCTGTTTAAAAATATCCACCAATTAGACAAGTTATTGACACGCTCGCTGTATTGACCGCGTTTTATATGCTAATGATATTAATGCACAGTTTGTAAAGTTTGAAGCGTGATTTTTTTAAGCAAGTCTGTTTTCAATTTCAATTTCTGTGTTCACTCACACACACACACACACACACACACATATACACACACACACACACACACATACACACACACACACACACACACACACACACTCCTATGATTACACCAACCTATTTAAATTGTAATATATCATAACAAACTCACTTAAAGTACACCTCAATATGGAAGAGGACACTGACTTCTGAAACACAGGTATTTTCTATACCTACCTCAGAATTCAGGCACTTCTTAAGTATATGTATTTGTAGAAAAAAAAAAATTTTAGACAATAAAGATAAGTATAGAACAAAGCCGAGAATTTAAAAAATATGGGCCGCGTCGATAGTTTTATATAAAAACGTTTATGGGGAAGGTAAACGGCAAAATTTGTTTTTCCATTTAAATTAATATGACTATTAAAAAATATTTACACTTAAAAAAAATTCTGTGTTCTAAATTTTAAAAAAGGTTTCAATTTCAATATATTTTTTTATTTTTATCTGTAATAGAAATAGCGAACAAACTAACCATTTGGTGATAAGCGTTAACCGTCGCCTATACATGATCAGTATCAAACACATCACTAAAATGCCTGTAAGTTCATGTTGTCCTGGTACTTTCACTGTATCACACTTATTGTTTATTAGAGCATGGAACTGACCTGCCCTCATGTTTATCTTATCATCCTCCACCGGTGCCTCGCCAGTGTATACCGTTAGCACAGATGAATGCACTATACCATTATGGAAGACCTTCGGTTCTATAATATATAGAAAGTGTCAACCGTTGTCTATATATATGAACAGTACCAAAGACTTCACCTAACTGCCTGTAACTTCATGTTATCCTGGTACTTTCACTGTATCACATTTATTATTTTATAATAGCATGGAAACTGACCTGACCTCATCATGTTCATTCAACTTATCATCCTCCACTGGTGCCCCGCCAGCGTATACTGTAAACATAGATGAATGCACTGTTCCATTATGGAAGACCTTCGGTTTTATAATATATAGAAAGTGCCAACCGTTGTCTATATATATGAACAGTACCAAAGACTTCACCTAACTGCCTGTAACTTCATGTTATCCTGGTACTTCCACTGTATCACATTTATTATTTTATAAGAGCATGGAACTGACCTGACCTTATCATGTTCATGCTATCATCCTCCATTGGTGCCCCGTCTACGTATACTATTAGCACAGATAACTGCATCGTTATGGAAGATCTTCGGTTTCATAATATATAGAATAGGATATGGCCACCGTCGCAATATATGAAGAGTACTAAACAACCTAATCGCCTGTAACTTCATGTTATCCTGGTACTTTCACTGTATCACATTTATTATTTTATAAGAGGATGGAACTGACCTAACTTCATGTTCATCTTTTCATGCTCCACTGGTGCCCTGTCAACTAAATACATCACCCAACTGCCTGCAACTTCATGTTATCCTGGTACTTTCATTGTATCACATTTATTATTTTATAAGAGGATGACACTGACCTAACTTTATGTTCATATTTTCATCCTCCACTGGAGCCCGCCAGCTAAACACATCACCCAACTGCCTGTAACTTCATGTTATCCTGGTACTTTCACTGTATCACATTTATTATTTTATAAGAGGATGGAACTGACCTAACTTCATGTTCATCTTTTCATCCTCCACTGGTGCCCCGCCAGCTAAACACATCACCCAACTGCCTCTAACTTCATGATAACCTGGTACTTTCACTGTATCACATTTATTATTTTATAAGAGGATGGAACTGACCTAACTTTATGTTCATCTTTTCATCCTCCACTGGAGCCCGCCAGCTAAACACATCACCCAACTGCCTGTAACTTCATGTTATCCTGGTACTTTCATTGTATTACATTTATTATTTTATAAGAGGATGGATGTGACCTGATCTTATAATCTTCCACTAGTGCTTCGCCAGCGTATACCGTTAGCGCAGGCAGGTACACTATTCCATTATCATAAGACTTTGTACAAAGTGTACTAGGACTTCGGTTTATCTTTATAGCGTCCATAGTTCCAACTATACGTTTAAGATATAGAGGTGTGTCTGAAAGATCATACAAACACGCCTTATGTAACTTAAATCGTCACAAATGTTAAATTTTTATATAAATATTTATATGTATATTACAATTATATGTTACTCAAAATATTTGAATATAATATTAGTATGTCACTGAGGATTCAATTAACGAGAGGCGTGTCTTGACGTTATGGTAAACAAGTTCTATATATATATTTATTTATTTATTTAACTTCAATGCACACAATACAAGAGGTAGTAAGACCATTTGGCGGACTTAACATCGTGCGGCATATATATATATATATATATATACATATATTTTACTAGCTACTAGTGCTACTAGTATTTCACCTGCGTTAAATTTCAATAAAAAATATAGCTTATATGTTATTCTGATGCATGCGCTATATTAATGTAAAGTTTCATAAAAATCCGTTCAGTAATTATTGCGTGAAAAGTAACAAACATCCTTACAAGCTTTCGTGTTTATAATATTATTAAGATTAAGATTTCTAGTATTTTTTTTATTTAGAGGTATACTGAAGATTTTTTGGAAAATGGATGTGTATAATAATATCTCAGGACAATTCACACAGCGCTATCTAGTACTAAACTAAGCAGAGCTTGTGTTATGTGTACTGGACAACTGATAAAAAAAACTGAAATTTGTTTTTTTGTAAATACATTATTTAATATAGAGACCACAGATACAAATACTTAAATACATATTTTTTCTGAATACATAGAAAACACACACAATATAATCATATTAATGAACACAAATGTTAACACTTACTTGAAATGCCACTTGCATCATCATCATCATCATCATCATCATCATCATCTACTTCTTCCCACTTGAAATGACACTTATCGCTGGGTATATTTAAATCTAAAGTTACGTCTCCGCCGTTTTTAAAATTAATTTTATTAACTTGTGATTCCATTAGCGGAAACTCAGTCAGAAATATTTTGGTATTGGCAATATTCTTATGCACTCTCTCCAGACTCAAATGTTTGTGCCGTGAGAGGAATGGAACCCCCGACCATCGGAAGTAAGGCGGTGTGTTAAACCGTTAGACCACCGAGGCCGTCAAAAATATCTACGAAAACTTCTGCTGTATGAAATCGTAGCTGAAGTCAATATGTTAATAGTAAATAATAATGTTAGTGAAACAAATAAGGAAATAAAAAAAAGTTTATCTATGGCTCTATGCGAAGTCGGGATGGGTTGCTAGTATTTTATAAAATTGGATTCCACCTTCTCCTTAAATGTATTCACACGCATCCACTTAACTTATCATTGCGCACGCGCATCGTCTTGGCGCACGCCTTGAAAAATCGCTCATTCGCTGCGTAGCGGTCGCGGCTCGCGGACGTCTCCTTCGTTTCATCGTCAATTAAATGTATTACGATTATCGCTTCCTTATCGAGTTCTGGTGTATCGTTTTCTATTACAATATATTCCTACAGACAATAATCGATAGATTAGTGCGTTACACACTGTTAGGTTTGGCCGACATGTTCGATTTGGATGTCGACGACGATTTGTGATATGGTGTAACTTGTTATCGACTTATTTATTCAACCTGTGATATTAGTGGTAATAGTTAATTAATTATTGTATTGTACCATGTCTGAAAAGTCCGGAGTGATCACTATACACCATGTAAGTTTTTTTTTATTAATATTTTTTAAGTAATGTTAATGGATCTTTTTTTCACTTGGAAAAAATCCTCATGGAGACCTACTCACCCCCAGAGAGGTAGACGGGTACTGCCGTACTCTACTAAAAACCCCAACTCTCTTCACCTTGAGAGTTACGGGAATGCGAGCAATCTTCCGTAACTCTAAATGCGCTGGTCCGCTTCTGGATTCTGATGGAACTCCCGTCTATGTTAACGGGTTTTTTATTAACTTGGAGGAAATCTCTATAAATTTAAATATATATCAAAAACACCGTTAGAGGTATCACAATGGGTGTAGTCAGAGACAATGTCAACTGTATTCACTTGTCTGGGTATAGGTTTAATTTTAACTTAATTATTATAGTAACATTATAATAATAATAATAATAATCTCAGGACAATTCACACAGAACCATCTAGACCCAAGTTAAGCTAGCTAGAGCTTGTGTTATGGGTACTAGATAACTGATACATATACATAGATTTTTTTTTTTGTAAATACATACATATTATACTTAGAAAACACCCAGACCGATACAAACAATCATACTCATGAATACAAATGTTTGTGCCGTGCGAGGAATCGAACCCGCGACCATCGGTCGTAAAGCGGTGTGCTTGACCGCTAGACCACCGAGGTCGTCAACATTATGAAGTATATACAGTAGAATCCGTTTATTATGACTCCGCATATATTGACCAACCGATTATTATGACGTTATTACACTAAGTTATTAAGAAGTTTGGTTTTCATATAAAATTCTATATAAAAAAGTCGGTATAATAACTTACCATACAGTGACATGTTGCTTATTTGGACCAATTTTGAATAAATTATATTATATAATTAGGTTATAATGACCAATAAACAAGAGCTGGGAAAAATTACAGATTACTTACATTAATAAATACATTTGTACTGATTACTTCCAAATTTTATTTTCATTTAATATATTTTTATACATATGTAGTTATTATATTTCTCTATTAAAATACTTAAGTACATACATATATACATCTATACAATATAAATAAAATTGGAGTGTCTGTTTGTAATATAGAAATGAACGTTTTTTTTACATGCATAAGAATATAAATACGGTACATACACCAAAATAACAATTTTTGTCTGTCTGTATATTTGTTCCGGCTAATCTCTGAAATGGCTGGACCGATTTTGACGGGATTTTTTTTGGCAGGCAGCTGTTGTAATAAGGAGTAACTTAGGCTACTTTTATTTTAGAAAAATAAAGTTAAATTCCACGCGAACGAAGTCGCGGGAACAGCTAGTATTATATAAAAAAGTGTTTATTTTTCATAAAACGCTTTGCATGACGTTCGCTTATTATGACGTGTTTGTCAATTCTATTCGATGTTATTATAAACGAAGTCAACTGTATTTGTGAACTAGCTGACCCGTACGACTTCGTCTGCATCGCACTTGCTCATCATTATATTTCTGCCTGGGAAGGCCTCCAGCAAGGTGGACCGACGATCTGGTCAAGATCGCGGGAAGGCATTGGATACGAGCAGCGCAGGACCGATCGTCGTGGAGATCTTTGGGGGAGGCCTATGTCCAGCAGTGGACATCTTCCGGGCTGCGATGATGATGATGATGATGATATTTCTGCCAATTTACATAATATCTTTATAAATTATAGCTTATACGATACGACGACCTCAGTGGTCTAGCGGTGTAGCACACCGCTTTACGTCCGATGGTCGCGGGTTCGATTCCTCGCACGGCACAAACATTTGTATTCATGAGTATGATTGTTGTTCCGAGTGTTTATATGAGATATTTGTATATATAATGAAATGGACATTTGGTTTTGATTTATTATATATTTGATTTTAAACATAATTATTAATATTACATTTGTAAATAATTAAATGGGCGTTCGGTATTGATTTTTATTTAAACTTCAACTTAATTCTTAACACTATAAAGTAGATATTTGTAAATAATAATTAAATGGACGCTTGGTATTGATTTTTATTTGAATTTCAACTTAATTCTTAACACTATAAAGTAGATATTTGTAAATAATAATTAAATGGTCGCTTGGTATTGATTTTTACTTAAATTTCAACTTAATTCTTAACATTATAAAGAATATATTTGTAAATAGTAATTAAATCGACGCTTGGGATTGATTTTTATTTGAATTTTTTACTTTATTATTAACATCATAAAGTAGATATTTGTGCATATCGGAAGTAATGCGATGTGTTAAATCTCTAGACCACCTGGCCCATTGAACTAAGCGGATAATGTATATTTAAAAAAGAATATAAAAGAGAATTTTAAAAATACGAATTTAAATTTGTAAAGAAATTTTAAATATAGCGGATTTACGTTAAAAATTACAGAGAGTGAATTCCATAAAAATGCGAAATTAAATTGGTAAGGAAAGCGAAAGTTAGGTTTATTAGTTCTCGAAAAATGATAATTAACTTAATTGGTCTAGTTTTACTAATTGCTTAATTTATACTTAGTTATTTTTATAATTAGCACTTAGAAGGTTTCTTTATATATGGTATAAAACTAGCCACTCATACGTGTACATGTATTATATATATAAACTTCCTCTAGATTCAATCTATCTATTAAAAAAACCTGCTTCAAATTCCGTTGCGTAATTTTAAAGATTTAAGCATATATATGGACGGACAGACAGCAACAGCGACTTTGTTTTATACTATGTAGTGATGATTCTCGTGTCACAGTGTTAATTGACTATTTCTTAGAAACGGCTTAATTTTTATGAAATTTTGCGTATAAATCGAGTAGGTCTGAGAATCAGCCAACATCTATTTTTCATACCCCTATGATAAGGGGTAAATAATTATTTTTTATTGTTTTAATTACTTTGTTTCTTTTAATTTCTTTATGATATGGCATTTAAATAAATGCAACTAAAATTGAAATTGATAATTACACAATGTAAATAAAGTGGCTTTTTTTAAAATATCTGTTAAGTAGTATTAGTAAAGTCACTAAACTATACCGTAATTACGATTTTAAACTTTATAATGATATATTATAATTAGTTATACCGTGTATTGTGTACGTAATTAATTTGATTTATTATATTTTTAATAATATAATTGCAATCGAATTTAAATTTTATAAATATCATTATTGTATATTATGACTTGCCATATATGTAAAGATGTTTTTTACATTGGTCAATAAATGAAACTAAACTAAACTAAACAATTACATGTGATGCCGACAAATGCATGGCAATAGTTGTTCATGCACCGTATTTTCATTTAATCTTAGACATAGACACCTATATAAATATACAGTGTAAATAAACTGGCTTTAAAAAAAAGTAATTCAGTTTAGTTTCTTGCCGGTTCTTCTGAATTGAATCTGTGTACAGAACTGGACGGTAGGGAGAAATATTAATATAAAAAACTTAACGTTCGTAAGTAGCTGATTCATATTCTATACATCTGTACATACATACATACATATAAATAAAATTGGAGTGTCTGTTTGTAATATTGAAATAACCGTTTTTTGCTACATGCATATGAATATAAATACCGTACGTACACCAAAATAACATTTTTTACAATTTTTGTCTGTCTGTTTATTCCAGCTAATCTCTGAAACGCCTGCCCCGATTTTGACAGGTAGCTTATGTAATAAGGAGTAACAAGCTACTTTTATTTTAGATTTTTGTCTGTCTGTCTGTTTGTTCCGGCTAATCTCTGAAATGGCTGGACCTATTTTGACGGGACTTTCTTTGGCAAGTTGCTCATGTAATATGGAGTAACATAGGCTACTTTTATTTTAGAAATTAAAGTTAAATGCACGCGGACGTAGTCGCGGGTACGAGGGACCTATCTAGATTATTTTATTATTACGATGTCATAATCCTAAACACTAAATATTAACGTAGATAATTACACTTTATACAAAGTATTCACCGAGTATTTTCCTGTTGTTTGTCATATCATAAAACTGAAATTGTTTTTTTATTTATTTACCGCTGTAAAATTGGTCGTCAAGTATTTACCTGTTGTTTTTCTATTTTCTTTATCATATAACTGGTATCTCTATGTCCATATCTCTCCTATTCCTACAATACTTAAGCCTAAACAAAGATAAAAACAAAACAGCCAAAAATAGCAACGCGGAACATAACATCGCCTTGGTCTAAGATTAGAGAAGTGTACAAATATTGCTTTGATAGATCTATTGATATCCGTATTGGAAAAAAATATTTAACCAGGTATACAATATAGAATAGAATAGTCTTTTTTATTCAAAATATCTTTATAACAACATATGCATAATGACTGCGGCCCTTACGTCCTGTACTGTAAACTGTTGAAAAACATGGCAAACCTAGGCCTATGCACAACAAAAATCTGCAGATTCTGCCAAGCTGAAGAGAAAACGCTACTACACATCCTATGTCGTTGCAGCCCTCATGCATAAACGAAATATCTCCTTTGGAAAGTATACACTCTATCCTGAGGAGATAAAAACCATCGCTCCTAAGAATATCCTTCAATTCTTGTCCCGACGGGTCTAGGTAGCGAACTTTGAAAAGGGCGAGCACAATAGATCTATGTAGGTCGCAGTGCTACAGGTCCATGCACCTAACAATAGTCCAAACGGCCCAATATATATGTATATGTTTATTCATGTAGGTATACTTTAAATTTTTATGGTATATCAAATTTATCAAAAATTTAAATAACTAGCTGACTGCGCAACTCTGTCTGATCATACTTACTTGACATATATTTTACCCAATTTACATAATATCCTTTTAAATTATAGCCTATATGTTATTCTGATGTATAAGGTATACTACTGTAAGGTTTCCTTCGTTCGTAAAAGATGATATGGTACGAAAGGGAGTAAATAACGAGATGACTGCATACAGGGATGAATGGAAGACAACGTATTACCACGACCACAAGTAAATGAGATAAGGAAGAAAAAGATGATGGA